CTTGAACGGTCAAGGAGCTCTCCAGTAACCTGCAAATTGGAAGCAAATCAAAATTAACAATAAGAGAAGTGATTCCACTTTTATATACAGATTATGTTCCAACATCACTCATATATCATTCTGCATAAACACATGCTCTAAAAAGCGACTACCCGAGCTCTAACATTTTGTTTCTTCGATCGGTGTGTACTGACTATTTCTGAGGTTAATGCAAGTTGTTCTGGTTGTTCTTACTTCGTATTTGGATATTACTAACATGCATCATAGTATCGTACCAGTTATTACCCAAAAATTCATTCTAACATATTTCAACTTTAAAAGACTCACATTCACTCATCACTTCTTTAGTTGTTTATCGGGTAAATTCTTACAAAAATTTACAGAAAGAACTAATAGTGGAACTAATGTGCATAACATGAGAATATGGCTCAATGTTCATGAGTTTCTCAACTTCCATCGAACCAAATTTAGAAACCTGCAGAGAGAAGGTGTATCAGTGAAAGTATAACAACAAAGGGGAAGAAATGTATGTGACACACTGACACACTCTACATTTGAATCCACACAAGAAACACACACACCATATTGATATAGAACTTCAACTAATGACCCCGGTAACCCCCAATTAAGGATAATATGTCAAAGAATTCAACTTTAACGAAAATGAAAATTGAACTATGTAGTTTCCATGTGTTGTCAGAATTTAGTCCATGGTTGAGTAGAGTGTCACACTCGTGGTCCTTACAAAGGTGGTTTACAACCTAAACACCTAACCATCATGACTCTTTTGGTCCTGTATGGAATATCTCCCACCTACAGTTAACAAACACTGAATAACATTCTTAACTAAACTTAGAAAAAAACAGCCTAAGAACAACAGAAAAAGTTACAAACAAAAAACCATAACAAAGTATGGTTGGACTCTAGAGAGTTACTTGAATGGGCTCAAAATGTGTGATAAGCGGCAATTTAAAATGATAACCTAAAAGGAAGTACACAAATCTTTAATGATCATAAAATTGAGAACTAAAAGAATACATTGTATGCAATGGAAGTGGAAATTAAATATAAACAAAAGGGTAATGAAGAATCACAATTAACATGTGGTTTATGAAAAAAAGATGGGTTTAAAAAAAAGGAGTGCCATTTATCACTACACAAATATAGCAAATTCATCCATTTAAACATTAATAAAGAAATTCTTAAAAATTAAAAAAAAATTACAACCTGCCTGGTATACCATCTGTAAAACTACTTATCAGTTAGCATCCTTTCGATCACACACACATCTTATGCATTATTCACTGCAAACATATTCCCTCGTTTCCTTGAAGTGAGCATGTCAACTTATCTTTAACTTGAACCATTGTTGATATGAGCTACCACTAAGGAAAGTTAAAAATTCGAGTTAAAGATCATTAAAACACCATCATTCAAGCATCTTTAATTGCTTAATCTAATTTATGCCCATCATGGAATGGATTCATTACATGAATATGCAGGCATATTAATAAAAGAGGTGCGTTTTTTTAAAAATAAGCAAGAGCATAGATCTTTTTTACACAGCTAAAGCTATTTCTTATAAAATCAACATATACAACCTGTTTTGGGGAAATAAATCAGCATGCAAAACATAAAAAAGCATATAAAATGCAAAATATGGCAATAAGAATTAATTTTCAAACATATCAGCCTGTTGATAGTATAATTCAATCAAAAACTATAGAATGAAATATAATACATAGCATTAGTTACCATCAATCTTGACACTCTTCAGCTTGCTACTGAACATTGAATTTACTTCAACCTTGAACATATACCGCTTACTATGCAGAATATCATCACAGTCTTTAGGGTTGTCAAAAGTTCCATCCTGTGATAGTTGTATTGTTAAGGCAATATATAGTTTATGAATGAAAATTGTAAATCCCTTAAGTAGCACTATTTCTAGTAAAAGAGGGTGTCATCCAATGTAAAAACTAAAAAGGTGAAATTCTATGTTAAAATAAAAATAAGAATTCACGTCTTCAGGAGTAATTTAACCCGCATGAATGTTTGCCAAAATTAGAGGTATGAACAAAAAGGATACAAAGAATAATGGACCTGAGTGAGTACTATTTACCATTACTCTTATATAATGGAAGATTTCTTGCAGTGGAATTAATGGAAGAGCAAGGAGAAAGAGCAGAGAAGCTTCTGTGCGGAGACTTTGAAATGCTTTTGGCTGAAGAACTGGGCTGATTCTAATGCTTTTTCGCCATAAATACAATAAAAGCGCTGAGCGATTTCTGGATCGTGCAAACTGATATTTTCTCCAGGAGCTCTATTGAAGCTTATTCTCCTAGCGAAGCAAGAGCCCTTTTGGCGTAATCATCTAGGGGTTCTTGACACTGTTCAAAACAAATCTTCTCAACCATGGCTTCCACTGTGGGTGACAGAAATCCCTTCTCCTCTATCCCTAAAAAGGCCTATGCTTCAGCTATTAAATTAAGATGGAATCATACTTTAACCCAACAAATACATATGGAACTCATACTAAACCTCACACATTTGGAAAAAAATTTGCAGAATTAATGATATGGCTAACAATTTCTGCTCCTATCATGGCAAATACTTCACTGGGAGGGGACAATCTATCCCTAAAAATGGCCTATGCTTCAGCTATTAAAGATGGAATCAGACTTTAATCCAGAAAACACATTTGGAGCTCATATGAAATCCCCAAAATCAGAACATTTCAATAAAAGAACCCTAAGAATTCTTTCAAACGAATCAATATATGAATTTAAC